AATTCCACCTTTGGAAACACCCAAAAACTCAAAGCCAATAAAATCCATTAGGAAAGTCTTAGCAATAACAGGAGTGTCCCACAGAGTGACTGATTACGGACTGAATGCCTGCGAATCAGAACCACAGAAGTCGGAGCGTCGCTAAGTCTGCTGCAGGGATGGGAGGGACGCAGGGGGCATCTGAGATGCCGGTTACGTGCTTTCTAGGAACCCTGGTAGTGCTGTGGTTAAGCACTTGGCTGCCAACCAAAACCTTGGCGGTTTGCACCCACCATCTGCTCTGTAGAAGACGATGTAGCCGTCTACTTCTATGAAGATTACAGCCTTTGAAGCCCCATGGGCCAGTTAGGCTGTGTTTTATAGTTGGAACTGACTCGAGGCGCCTGACAACATAAGTAATAAACCTACCACCCAGTCAGCACCTTGATAGGAGTCTACATCTACTCCTAGTCGTCTCCTCAACTAATACAGGCCTTGTCCTCCCTCCATCTGAACCCGTCATTCCCTCGGTACCCTTTATAATACTTTCATTTCATCTATGTGCGTTCATTAAGGACGTTCTTTTTCTAGAATGTCTAAATTTAGAATTAGACTCACTAAAGGAGTTTAGCTTTAGTAATGACTGTGATACTGAATGAGGAGTCTTGTAGGATCAGCACTGAACTTCCTGCTCACCAAAATTTAGGTCAGCAGTTCAAACACACCAACCTCCCCTCAGAAATCCTGTACAGGATCAATACGAGTCGGAACCAACACAACAACGCTGAGTGAAAACTGTAGGAACATTTTTATATGTAACTATGTTGTTCTTGTTAGGTGCCCTCAAGTCAGTTCCAACTTACGGTGACCATCTGTGCAACAGAACAAAACACTGCCAAGTCTTACCCCATCCTCACAGTGTAGGAGTCTGGTGCTTCAGGCATTGTGCCAGTCCATCTCATGGGGGCCTTCCTCTCCTTCACTGACCCTCCTCTGTACCGAGCATGATGCCCTTCTCCAGGGACCGGTCCCTCCTGACAACATGTCCAAAGTACTTGAGATGATGCCTCGCACCCTGGTGTGTAACGAGCATTCTAACTGTACTGCTTCCAAGACAGATTTGTTTGTGTTTCTGGTATTGTTGTAAAGTGCCACTGAGTCTGTTCCAACTCATAGCGACCTTGTATAGGGTTTCCAAGGAGCAACGGGTGAGCTGGAACCACTGACCTTGCGGTTCAAACTGACTTTGCTATCCCGCGCCTTAACCCATCGTGTGCCACACTAGGATTTCTGTTCTTCTGATAGTCCATGGGATAGTCAGTATTCTTTGTCAGCACCTTAATCCAAAGGTATCAGTTCTTCAGTCTTCCTTATTGTTGTCCAACTGACATTCTGTAGGCCATTTATTCATAGACTCACTTTGATTGGTAAAAGTAGGAAAGTTACTTGATAAGATTAGAGCTGATTAGAAAAGAAAATGTTGTCATGATAAAAACTGAAGTGTGTTCATTGTTCTGTCAGTCCATTCAGTGGTCGGTACTCCGTGCCAACACCACAATTCAAAGACATCATTCTTCTTCAGTCTTTCCTAGTCATTGTCTAACTCTCACATGCATATGAGTGATTGGAAATACCATGACTTGGGTTATGTACACCTTAGTCTTCACAGTAACATCTTTGCTCTTTAATACTTGAAAGAGATTTTTTTGCAGCAGATTTGCTTAAAGCAACATGTTGGTTAATGTCTTGATTTCTGCTTCCATGGACCTTGATTGTGCGTTGACGTGAGTGAAATAAAATCCTTGACAACTTCAGTCTTTCTCCATTCATTGTGATGTTACTTATTGGTCCAGTTGTGAGCAGTTTTGTTTTCTTGATGTTGCAGTGTAATCCACACTGAAGGCTGTGGGCTTTGATCTTCATCAGTAAGGGCTTCAAGTCCTCTTTTCTTTCAGTAGGCAAGATTGTGTCCTCTATATGTTGCAGGTTGTTTATGAGTCTTCCTCCAATCCTGATGACACATTCTTCATATATAATCCAGCTTCTCAGATTATTTGCTCAGCATGCAATTGAAGAAATGTGAATGGATACAATCCTGATACACACCTTTCCAGTAGCTGTAGTCTAGTCCTTTTAACTGTCTATAACTTTACACCGTACAAACACCGTGCTGGTGGTACACAGTGTACAAGGAGTAGCTCATCCCCACTGCTCTTGATGAATGATGTTGGAGTTTCCCCAATGTCAGTATGTGTTTGCTTTGCTCTGCTTTGTTTTTTGGGTTTTGGGGTTTTTCACTTTGTTTTTGCTCCTACATACAGTGAGGTTGTCAGCATTCTTTTCCGTGTCTTCTGTTATACACATTCAAGGGGCTCATACATACTGAAAAATGGTACAGCTGGGGCCTAGATGAAGAGCAGACTCCATTCATTGTTAGAGATAATGATCAAGTGTTTCCCAACGCCGTTTTACCTGTACAGTGAGTGCCATAGCGTTGTGTGCACGTCCGGCGGAGCCACAGCCTTGCTCGCACTGGTGTTCTCGGTCTGGCCTCACATTTGCTATGATGTGACATGTCAGCCTGGTGACTGGCACGTCTCTCCAAGCATGCTGACTGTCTGCTCACGTTTCCCCTTCTTGGGAATGCTATCCATGCCTCTCACCCCGTTTTCTATTGGAGTTTTGTTTATGTATGGTCCTAATACGTTAGAGGCATTCTTGATCGGCCTTTAATAATAGTCCTCTCCGGGTTGGTATCTCTCTCCACTCCACTCCCCACCCAAAAGAAGGCATGGCTGATTTATCTAAGTTTATTTATCTACGTTTCCAATTTTAGGTAAAATGAACATTTTCTCCCTTTTTTTCAGCTTATCTTTTTCAGACAAGTTTTGCTGCGGTTATCATCTTTGCCCGTCCCTCTCCATGTCCCTTGGATTTGTTTCTCTCTTCCGCCTTAAGCTCATCATCTAAAACTGCTCTCATCACGGCTACTTTTATGGCTAAACTTCTGAGATCTTATCCCTGAGAATGCTTTTTTTTTTAATGCTCTCATATTTACATGATGTTTTGGCTAGATATCAAATTCTATGTCCTCAGTTCTTTTCCTTCAGTAAATTTTAATACTAGTTCACTGTTTCCTATATCTTCTGTTCATCTCTTCTGCTCCTTTAAATATTATCTGTTCTCTCTTTCTGGAAGCTTCCAGAATTATTCTTGATATTTCATTGCTGCTGTGGTTTGCTGCCAAGTTGGTTCTGACTCATAGTGACCCTGCATCAGGTTTCTAAGGCTGTGAATCCGTATGAGAGCACAAAGCCTCATCTTTCTCCTGCAGAGCGGCTGGTGGATTCGAACTGCTGACCTTGCTGTTAGCAGCCCAGTGTGTAACCCACCACACTACCAGGGCTCATTGCAGTGTAGCTAAGTTCTACATCTAGAAAATGTATGTGCAAGGGTTAGATAGACTAGTCTGCCTAAAGCACTCCGTGCAGTAAATGTCGAATAGGTAGGCAGTGCTTTGTCTGGTATTATCATTACCCTATTTAGTCTCAGGGGTTTGGGAGCCATTTTCATTTCCTCGGGTTTATCTGCTAATCCCAAGTCTGGTCAACTGTCAGTCTGTCCCTATTGACTCTTGACTTTCGATAGAAGCCTACACACCTGGCATGTTCTATTAGGCAGGCTCTAGATTCTCTTCCCTCCCTCTGAAGACTGGTCCCATTCCTGTAGTTAATGAAACTGATTTTATGGGTGTTTGGTTGTAGCTTCAGTCTCTTTTGGTGGGCTAGTCCTGGGATCTGATTCTTACCCGAGGACAACCTCTCTGGGGGTCTAGTGGGAAGTCCAAGGTGTTGCCCAGCTCCATGGACTCAGTGGGTGGCAAGCAGGTGCCAAGGCCTCAGCTCCACGTTCCCAGCCTTCCAGCTGCTGTTGTCTGCTGCAGCCCAGCCCAGGATGGAGAAAGTTTGCACACAGATTTTGTGTGTCCCCTTCTGTGGCGTCCTCCTTTCCAAGTCGTGCTCCCTCAGTTTCCCAGCTGATTTGGATGCGTCTCTCTGAGCCCTGTCCCCAGGTGCTGCGTGAACCGAGGACGCCTCCACGGGCCGCACATTTCAGCTCATCTGCTCATTGGTTCCTTTAGTGTATTTGGTCCAGAGCTTATCATTGTTATTGACAAGAGTGTTAGACTGACACAAATTATTCTGTCATTACTGGAAACCAGAAGGCCAATCAATAAATGCATTATAGATAAAAAGATAAACATAACAAAGTAGCCTGGTTTGTGCAGGATTCAGACTTGGAAATGTTTCCTGTAGGTGGTTGTTCATCCATCCAGGGAGCTGGTTTATGTGACTGCCTTGCAGTGAGCGGATGAGAGTGTCCGAGTAGCAGGGCTCTGCTATTAGAGCTGTGGGGCCCCAGCTGACTGTATATTCCTCCCCTGGGTCCCTTGACCGTCACCAGCTTCCTTCACATCTCGTTTCCAGCATTTCACAGACAGCGTTAGTATGCTTATGTGTTTGAGTGGCGTTACCGTGCTTAAGGTTAAAGCAGTGAATTAAACTTTGACATTTCTCCCACTAAAAGCTCTACGCTGCCCTTTTCCTCTGTTTTACTAAGGGATTCCACCCTTCTGTGTGTTAGTGGTCCTGACAGGACAAAGATGGCTCCCCTCCCCTGAGTGCACACTAATCTTCTTAGGATGATTAAAATGGTGTCATTGCCCTGCTCACTGTCTCAGCCCAGTCCCCATATTGTTCCCTATGGAAGCTTGGTTTTATGGGTCTCTGGGGACTGCCTTTATGTGGCTTGCAAACTCATTTCTTTTCTTTCTGCTGCAAACTTATTGTTGTAGGCATCCAGCCCTGGTGGCAGGCAGCCAGTGAGATTTTCCCGTGAAGCCCAAAGCTGCCAGTGCTGAGGACGGACGTCTGAGATTCCCTCCTTGTTCTCTGTGCTGGACAGCTGCATGTGTGTAACTGTCCCAGTGCTGCGGTTCATGTTCTTTTCTTTCTCGGCAGGTTTTGCATGCAGAAGTGTGTCAGCTTGGTGCCGGGAGTCACACTGGATTTGATAGAAAAGTGAGTACCATTGTCACGCTCTTGTGAGATTCAGGATTGAGGACGGTGTCAGAAGTGCCTCCTATCAATACGGGCTGTGTTCTTTGCTTCTCCAGTTAGGACTTGCCGTGTGTGTGTACACATGTGTATCAACTGCCGCACATGAGTCATTTCTGCCTCCCCTAACTGATGGAGCCATGCCACAGCCTTCCTTCCCCAGTGCCCATTGTGTTCTCCCTCAGAACAAACCAGTTTCCGAGAGTGAGTCACAGTGACGTGAGCCCCTCACTTCCATGACGTGCTTCCCTCCTGTATCGCACGACTCGGGGCCAGACCTGCAATTGGCTGTTTGCTATGTTCAACCCACACTTCTGGCTCATCTGGGCCCATTTAGGCAGAATGAGGCTTTGTGGCACTGTTTCTAAATCCTGGGTCTGATCAACTTCACCCACAACATAGTGAGTGGTCTTCTAGGGCTGGGTGTACAAAACCACGTGGTTAAACGGCTGCAGCCTAGATTTAATGACATTCGGTAGGAAATGCAGCCTGCTCCCAGGAGTCTCCTAGAGCTACTTGCCTTATGCATAAGAGAGACAGACACAGGTGTGATGTGATGCCTCAGTGCCCACCAGTAGGGGAGCAGGGGCTGCACTATGACGTATTCCTGTCATGGGAAATTCACTAGATGGCAAATAAGAAAACTGTGGAAGCTATCCTGTTTCCTACGTGACGGACTTCCGGATCTATCATCATCTAAAGCGAAAAGCAGAGTGATTCGGATACATTCCATAGGACTCCCAGAGTTGGTTAAAAATAATGTGAGACTGTGTAAATTCGCACAAATGGTACCTGGGGGTCACCTCTGTAGGGAGGAGGAGGGAACGGCAGTAGAAGAGATTTGACATTTTCTTAGTTTTTATTCATTTATTTTTTTTTACAAGAATATTTGTTTTTGTTGCAAAGTACCGTCGAGTCCGTTCCAACTCATAGCAACCCTGCTGTAGGTTTTCTGAGGAGCAGCTGTTGAGTTTGAATCACTGACCTCATGGTTTAAACCAGCCTTGTGGTCCAGTGTTTATCCTACAGTGCCACACCAGAATATTACAAGAATATAGTCACCTAAAATACACTGAGGAGAAAGAATCAGCTGGAAACCAGTCAGGGCACTGTGTCTCCCTCCAGCCATGGATTTAGCATCTAAGGAGCCGTGTGGCTGGTCCCTGCACGCGTTCGCCTCACAATGCTTTTGTTCTCCAGCAGAACAGGGCGGCTATGAGCAGAGACTCCACCACTGATTGGAGGCAGCAAAACATGTGGAAGGTCTAGCAGGCCCTCCGTTCATGTCGCGGCTTTGTTAGCACAGTCGGCTCAGAGCTGACAGAGTAGCAGAGGCTGCTTGACTGAGGTGTGCTGAGAGCTTAAGGGGCTGGCATACTGGACTTGCAGTATCCGTTGTGAGGGAGAACCAGTGGTCGAGCTGGCCCCAGGCAAGCTGAGTGTATTGTCCTCCTTCATAGCAAGTACTGCAGCCTCCCAGCCCAGCAGAGGGGAGCTGTCCGAGGGGAGCTTGCAGACTGGGGTTGAGCCATGTGGGCGGCCGTGGCCAGCCCCAGTGCTCACGGTGGCAGTGGTGACTCAAACTCTTCTCCTTTCCAAGCAGACGGTCTCATGCTTCTCGTGACACCTGCCACATGCCGGGCACACATGTGCCTCCGTTGATCCCTTCACATTGTAAGCCATTGGGCAGCCTGGTGACAGTGGAGGTCAGCGTGCTGCTGCTGACCAGTTGTCCGCAGGCCATGCGTCACTTCCTGCTACTCGACATCTTTTTCCTTCCTATCGGGATGCAGGGCGGTGTGTAAGGTGTGCTGTGGCCAAACCCTCTGGTCTGGAGATGTACCTCCTCGGACCACTGTACCCAGGGAGTAAGACACAGACCCCTCACAGAGCTGTTCCAATGGAAAATGTTTGCAAATGGTGAACAAACCGTGACGTCATTGAGGAACATCATGGAGAAAGGGTGCTTTTCCAAACAAGAAAGCAAACAAAAGGATCTGTTGGCCTGCTCACTCTGTTTGGTTTGGTTCCTTGACAAGCTTTCAGAGTTTGCAAGCCTGGCTCATTAGAATTCAATTTAGATTCCGTCTTCCAAGTTTTCTTTCCCTGCCTTCTTCAGTGATCAAATATATATGTGTGTACACACTTATATGGAGAACTGGGGTGGTGCCGTAGGGTAAGCACTAGACTTCAAAGTCGGTGGTTCAAACTCACTGGTCACTCCTCGGAAACCCTGTACAGGGTCACTGTGAGTCCAAACCAACTTCACAGCATTTAACAACAAAAACAATGTACTTATATACAGGTGTATACATTTCACTTATATATGACTTTATACATGTATATACACTTATATACATACATGTATACATGTATGTATATACACTTATATACATACATGTATACATGTATGTTATTGTTAAGTGCTGTCAAGTCGGTTCCAACTCATAGCAACCCTATGTAGGGTTTTCAAGGAGTGGCTGGTGTGTTTGAACCGCCAACCTTGCGTTTCAAACCGACCTTGAGGTCAAGTGCTTATCCTCTGGTACCACCCCAGAATACACACAAATGTGTGTGTCTATATAACCCAACAAACCGTACCCACACAACAAATGTATCATGCACGTCAGCAAAGGCGCTTTCTGTCACAACTCAGTTGCTCGAGTTCGCTCGTTCAGACAGTTCTTGATTTAAAATTTCTTGATTCCTTTTCTTGCCTTCTTTAGATTTGCTTATGGGCACTGTTTTGGCTCCCTGAGCTCTGCGTCAGCCTCCGTCTCTGTGTGCGGGGTGTGTGTCTGTCCTCTCCTGGTCACTCAGCATGGTCATGGCCACTACAGACTCTGCTCTCGGCCCACGGTCATCCAGCTGCGTGCACATGTTCCCAGCTTTTGGAGTCCAAGGGCCATTAAAAACCAGCTAGCTTAAAAAGTTACCTTAATAGGGCTTTGGTCAAAGCCGTCCTGTTACGGAACAGGAAGCTGGAGTGTATTTAGTTGGGTTGCGCTTCCTGCATGACATCTTAGACCTGGTTAGTAGCATGGCCAGCCTAGATGCCTGGTCTCTGGACAGCCCCTCTATAGTCCTGTCTGCCACACACAGGTCCTGGAGCCTCCCCCGAGATTTGACATGTACAGCATCACAAGCCACAAAGGAGACCAGAGTGCTAACCAAGGCTCTCTGCAGGGTGCTGCTGGGAGACGGGAAAGGCGGAAACACCCCTCTATCACATGTCTGACACAGGGCGCAAAACTCAAAAAGCAAACGGAAACCCAGTTTAAGAAAGAGCAAATGACACAGGAGACAGTTTACCAAAGCGGGTTTAAGAATGGCAAATACGCACATGATAATGGCTGGCTTTTATTGGTGTTGGTAAGTGCCATAGAGTTTGTTCCCACTCAGCGACTCTGTGACTATAGGAATTCTGAGGAGCAGCTGGTGGGTTTGAACTTCAACACCGACCTTACACAGATTAAAATCGTGATGTTTGTGGTACAGTCCCACTTGTCTATATGTGTGAGACTTCATGGAGGGCAATTGACTATATAACAACTAAAAAATAAAATTAATATGTAGTGTGTGTTGGGGGCACTATAAAGGAACATCAGCCAAAACGACGGTCTTGGTTCCCCAGTGTCACTGCGGCAGAAATACCACACCTGGGTGGCACCAGCAAACAGAACTGTGTTTCATCCTTGTTGTGGAGACTAGAATGCAGGCAGCCTGCTCTGAGGGAAGAGCCTTGTCTCTTGTTCCCTGGGTCCTTGGAGAGCTTATGGCCAAGCTCTTTTGCATGTCCAAAGAGAGTGATTTAGGATACAGTGGCACAGTGGGATCAGCCCTGGGCTGCGAACCACAAAGTTGGCAGTGCAAACCTACCATCTGCTCCTTTGAAACCCTCTATAGGATCACTATGATAACACTTAACAAACACAACAGCTACACTAATACTACCTCATTAACATAGCAAAGCTGACCTAGTCCCAAATGCGATTATGATCACAGGTATGTCATTGTGGGTCCTGAGTGCTATTCAGTCGGTTCCAACTCACAGTGTCCCTGTGTAGGGTTTCTAAGGAGTGACTGGTGGATTTGAACTGCCGACCTCGCGGTCCAGGGCATTATCCATATAACTCTAACATAAAATGTACAATATTTATATTGGGATAATTACAAAACCTGATCAAAAATATCAAAGATCACAAAAAATGGGGAGATCATCTGTCTTCTTGGATAAGAAACCCCAATATGATTAAGGTATCAATTCTTCCTAATTTGATGTACAGATTCAATTCCGTCCCAGTTAAATTTACAACAAGGTATTTTGTGGATCTCAACAAACTGATGCTACGTTATATACTTCTCACTTGCTGTCTATCTTACTACCTGATGTTACGCATTTACGACGATAGTAGTCAGAGTCTACTGTCAGACTGTTTTACATGTTCACACCTACATACCGCAGGAAGGAACGCTGAGTGAGGTAAAGACTCCAGCGAGGCTAGGTTTTGTGTCAGTTTGGGGTGGGCCATGATTCTCAGTGGCGTGGTAGTTGTTATTGTTAAGTGTCATCGTGTCGATCCCAACTCATTGTGGACCCTGTGCAGGGTTTCCGAGTTGCAGCTGGTGGGTTTGAACCACCAACCTGGCAGTTCTCAGTCCAAGTGGTTCTATAGCGCCACACCCAGGCAGTTATGTAAAATGATGTCATTTGACAGTTATATAATGATGTGATTTGGTGTGAGATACGGGTCCTGCTTCACTTTTCTGCGGGTGGATGTCCACATTGCCAGCACCATTCATTAAAGAGACCATTTCTATCCCACTGAATGAACTTTGACCCCTTTTCAAAAACCAGTGTATGTTGTCCATACATGTTGTTGTTAGGTGCTATAACGTCAGTTCCAAATCCTAGTGATCCCTTGTACGGTAGCCTGGTCCTGCCCCCCATCCTCAGAATTGTT